GAGAGAGAGAGAGAGAGAGAGAGAGAGAGAGAGAGAGAGAGAGAGAGAGAGAGAGAGAGAGAGAGAGAGAGAGAGAGAGAGAGAGAGATGTTATGTGCCTGATTGAAACGAGATACAGCATGTGGCATCCACACGTTCCCATACACATGCGCAATGACAAGTGATCTTGGAGAGAGCAAATCACACCACAGCAGGTGAGAGAATACACAGCGGAAGCAGTCTAAACCAAAAATAGAACTGAAATTAATCAATTCTAATTAATACCCCGCTCCCTCCAGCCAATCAACGCACAGTTTTGCCCAAGAATCCCAACCACGTTAACAACACCCAGGAACCAATCATTTACACACTTGGAGTCTTTGTCTTCCTCCCTCCAATCAAGCTCTAGCTATGGCACGGCACCGTGCCCAGCCCAACAGTGCATCACTCGCCCCCAACCCTCCTGAACCAAAACACGACATTCAGCAGTCCAATCATGATGCCCACTGCAGATGAAGTGCCCGCTCAACAGGGGAGAGTAGCTCCCTGGACGAAGAAGAAGAACACCAGCACGATGAAGAGTGGAGCCTGCCACTCTCGAAGGAGACCTCATAGAAGAGCTGCTTCGCAGGCAGCTGAAATATCCCCAACGGCACAGTATGAAGAAGGCGCCACTCAGCGCTCAGGGCCTGATACCCTGCGCTGTGCGATGCGGTAGCTGGCTGCCCTAGCTATGGCTGCCAGTGTCTCCCCAAGATGATGATGCCTGCCCTAGGGAAATAACGCAGCAACCTCCAGTGGTCCTTCCAGCAGCACTTCGTGAAAAACAAAGGTGACCAACAGAACCGCGTTTCCCTTGCCTTCAACACCTTTGTAGACTGCTGCCTCCACTGACTCGACAGCCTACAGCCTAGGACCGAATCTAGACATAAAATGGACAAAAGGGAAGGACAGAAACGACCTACAACTCAAGGGCAGAAAAAGGACAAAACAGAGAGGCCTAGTGGTTCTAGAACTACCCTACAGAGACTCTCACAATCAGACCTAGGGATCAAGCCCAGTGAGGCTCACACACATAAAGAAACACACAACCACGGTACAGGTCACGGGATCAAGTCCCGGGGAGCTCAAAACCAGCCAAAACAGAGTACTGTACAGCCCACATAACACTGCAATTCATTGCACAGAGAGAGAGAGAGAGAGAGAGAGAGAGAGAGAGAGAGAGAGAGAGAGAGAGAGAGGGTTAGGGCTGTCTCTTATACACATCTAGATGTGTATAAGAGACAGCTCTTCTATCCCTTGTTGCGGGTGTGATAAAAAAAAAAAAAAAAAAGAAAGATCGTCACACCGTTATCGGACTCTACCTCACACACACCCACATCCACAGGAACGGGGAGACAGAGGCGCGGCC